TGTTTCCAGCAGGCCGGTGGAGGAGGCAAGACTGTGGTCTCCCCTTAGCTCTCATCACAAATGCCCGTCCCACAGAGGGCAAGGCATGAGGCCTGGATGCTCTGAAAGGCACTCAGCACTCACCCACAGCATTCTACAGATGGGAAAGTTTTATTCTGGTTTAGTGAAGATGTTTGGGATTCTTTTGGTTGAAAGTGTGAGGAATTCCATTTTTTTCTAAAAGGTAGGGCTAGTGCATTATATTATCCATGGAAACAAGGACGGCAGTCGTGGGGGTCGTGCTTTCACTCCATCTCCCCTCCACTCCTCTCCTTCTCAGGTCCGCAGTCAGGAAGCATGGCCCCCCACCCCAGCCCCTGAGGCTCACTCGTCCTCAGTTTGAGCCCCCTTTTATTCGGTTCTGGTTCCTAAATGCCAGTAAAGGACTCTGATTGTCAAACCCTATACCAACCAACAGTGGTCAGGAGTGGAACTACCTCAGACCACCACAGCAGCTCCCAGATGCAAAGTGTCTGGAGTGAGACGGAAAGGCAGTTTTTAGAAAAAGCAAGTACCAGATTAAATAATAGTAAATGTCTGTACTGAGGTCCCTAGAGCCCGTCCATGCCTCTACAGGTAAAGAAATAGCCTCAAGAGCTACCTGATTTCCCAGAACTTCCCTCACTTGTTCAAGGTAGAGGGGAACTAGAACACAGTCTTCTAGCTCCCAATCCAGTGCCTTTTCTATTACCCCAAGTTATAATGTTCTAGTTCCAGTTTCTCTTATGACACCTGGCCAACATAAGCCTTAGTAACAAGCTGTCACTGTAAAACCCAATGCAGTAGTTCTTTTAATTCCCCCTCCCCACCACTATTTTTTTTTTTTTTCGATGGAGTCTCTCTCTGTCGCCCAGGCTAGAGTGCAGTGGCACGACCTCTGCTCACTGCAACCTCTGCCTCCCAGTTTCAAGCAGTTCTCCTGCCTCAGCCTCCTGAATAGCTGAGACTACAGGTGCCCACCACCATGCCTAGCTTATTTTTATGTTTTTAGTAGAGATGGGATTTCGTCATGTCGGCCAGGCTGGTCTCTAACTCCTGGACTCAAGTGATCTGCCCACCTCAGCCTCCCAAAGTGCTAGTATTACAGGCATGAGCCACCATGCCTGGCCTAATTTCCCCATTTGATAGGTGAAGAAAGTGGAGTTCAGAGAAACCAAGTCATTTGCGCAAGGTCATAGGGAGTGGCGAAGCTGAGCCTTCAGGCGGTCTATTTCCAGCAGCCATCCTCTCCCCACTGCTGCCAGCTGTCCTCCAGATATTTTCTCTCCATCACAGCTCCTGTCTTCTTATTTTGTCTGTTAGGGTCTCAGCAAGAAGACAGGCACCAGGTACATCACTTGGGCCTCCCACTCATGGCAGTGGGTGACTGCCGTGTAGTTGGCTGCCTACACACAACACTTCCTTAATTACGGAGGGAGACAGTGACATGCTGTGAGTGCCTCAGAAATGCCCTCTGCCCTTGGGTAATTTGACTCCAGCAATCCATGAAAAGAAGAGAGTCTCTCAGGATGCAAAGCAAATGCAAATTAAAAGTGGGATAATGATTACCCTTCACCATAAGATTGTCAAAACTTAAAGTTTGATGACACCAAGTACCGAAGTTTTGAGGGGATGGGCATCATTAGAACCATCATTGCTGATATGAGCTGTCTTGGAAGGCAATTAGGCCATATCCATTTAAAGTGAGACCCAGTCCTAGAGAAACCATCGCACATGCCTTCAAGGAGACATGTTCAGGAATGTTCATCACAACATTGTGAAAGTAAAAACTTGGAAGCCACCCAAATGCTGACCAATGGGGAAATGGCCAAATAAAATGAGGACAGTCATATGACCAATGGATAAATCAATTGGGAGGGATAAACTAGATCTAAGATTTTGATTAAATCTAAAATACAGTTAGTTTTCATTATTCACAATAATTGTGTTTTATAAAGTCACTACAAACACTGAGTTAGAAAATACTAAACCATTGCTCCTGTGGGAATATAGGGTTAGGTTCCTGCAATCCTCTGGTGACAACATTTTTTGTCAACTAATCAATACATAGCCTTGTTTTATGTATGTTTCTGTTTAAAAACATCTTATTTGTTTTTTGTTTGTCTGTTTTTTGAGACAGAGTCTCGCTGTGTCTGCAGTGGCACAATCTCAGCTCACTGCAACCTCTGCTTCCTGGTTTCAAGTGATTCTCCTGCGTCAGCCTCCTGAGTAGCTGGCATTACAGGCGCCTGCCACCATTCCTGACTACTTTTTGTATTTTTTTTAGTAGAGACACGGTTTCACCGTGTTGGCCAGGCTGGTCTCAAACTCCTGACCTCAAGTGATCCGCCCACCTCGGCCTCCCAAAGTGCTGAGATTACAGGTGTGAGCCACCATGCCTGGCCGAAAACATCTTATTTGATATATACCACTGATTCATTAACATTAGACCCAGAGCCAACGATAACTCCTGACTGAATGAAACTTATCTAACACGTATTTTCTCTGTACGGCACATTGCAGCCTTTCTGCACTGAGGAACACTAGACAGCACATCACCATTTTAAACAGCAAAATCACTTACAGAAATGAAAAAAAAAATCGTGGTGCTAAGTAGACTGCGAAAAGGATACTTGTTTACAGAATGAAAGCTGAAAAAGAAGGCGGAGTGGCACCTTATCCAACCTCAGCTGGGAACATCTGCAACAGACAACACATTTTTTTTGTAGTCTCAGCTACTTGGAAGGCTGAGGCAGGAGGATCACTTGAGCCCCGGAGATTGAGGCTGCAGCGAGCTATGACTGTGCCACTGCACTCCAGCCTAGGTGACAGAGCAAGAGCCTGTCTCACAAAAGAAACTAAATGTAGAGGTATTTTAAATTGAGTGCTTATGCACTCTGAGCATGTCCACTAGTGACCGTGAAAATGCTGTGAGTATTGGTTTGAGCTTACAAATACAGTCTAGTGAGTAGGCAAATTCATAAATGTGGAATCTGTGAAGAATGAGGATCAACTGAACACGTCGTCACAGTTTGACATCTCTGAAACTGGGGTGCATTTTAGATTCCATGAAATACAGTACACGTATCAACATGGATAGAATCTGTGATTAATGTTGAGTGAAAACTGAGTTGAAGGTCAATATATATAGGATGAACCTACAGATGCAAAATAAAACAAAATGCCACCATAATTCTCCTTTGCTGTAAAATGGTTAACAGGTATCTTCAGCATTCCCCAGGCACTATTCTCAACACTCTACCATCTCCATTAATTTACCCTTTTTGAGGTTCTTATGAGGTAGGTGCTATTTTTATCCTCATGTCATATAAAGAGGTTAAGAAAATTGCACAAAGGGCTGGGTGTGGTGGCTCATGTCTGTTATCCTAACACTTTGAGAGATTGATGCAGGAGAATTGCTTCAGCTCAGGAGTTTGAGACCAGCCTGGGCAACATAGTAAGACATCATCTCTATTTTTGAAAATGAGAAAACTTCTATTTTATTTAAAAATAATAATAATAAAAGAAAATTGTACAAGGTCACAAGAAACCTGTTTATTTCACCCTGAAGTAAAAATCACTGATTGGATCTACAAACCTTCCTAGTGTTATTTGTATCCTAACAGGAACCAAAACACAGACAATCAAACTCAGAACAGTACATTCTAAATTGTATTGTTGTGAAATAAAACAGCTTCACTTCCCTAGTTCATTTATTGTCCACCATATTTCTTACTCCGGTGTAAAGAGACATAAACTTCAGATGGATTTAATCACAGCTGAGTTTTCATAAGTGCTGGATTAATGGAATTGTTCTAAGCTTTTGAGAGCTCCTTTTATTTTAGCTTCATAAAAATGCATTTCTACATATAGACACCTTTTTTGTTTATGAGAACACTTGCATAACTTGTTGTTTGTACTGTTGCTTGTTAATTTTAAATACAATCAAGTTACATTGAGTAAAGTCAGAAATTAGGACATTAAAAAAAGAGAATTTTTATGAGCTACAGACAGACTTATGCAAGAACCAATGTACCAGAAGGCTGAGGTGCTTCAGAAACTAAATGCAGAGGGCAGGCATGGTGGCTCATGCCTGTAATCCCAGCACTTTGGGAGGCCAAACTGGGAGGATGGCTTGAACCCAGGAGTTTGAGACCAGCCTGGGCAACGTAGTGAAACCCTGTCTCTACAAAAAAAAATTTAAAAATTAGCCAGGCATGGTGGCATACGCCCGTAGTCCCAGCTACTCGGGAAGCTGAGGTGGGAGGACGGCTTGAGCCCAGGAATTTGAGGCTGCAGTGAGCCATGATTGTGATACTGTACTCCAGCCTGGGAGACAGAGCAAGGCCCTGTCTTAAAAAATAAATAAATAAATAAAAGAAAAGATGCTAAATAAAGAGATAACATAAAGATTATAGAAACATGAAACATGTGAATGCATTTTTTACTCCAAATTTTGGTGTATACTTTTGCATATTAAAAAAATTACATTACCCTTGAAATATGATTTTGAGAAACTATTGGTTGTTTAACACATTCTTGCTTATTTAATAGCTTTTCCTCCAGCCCCATTGCTGCTTCCTAAAAATCCACACTTAAGCCAAAGCCCCCTCTGATGCTGGCAAACTTTTCTGATTCCCCACATACCCACATGGGTATTAAGTTGAATACTTAATACATGGGTATTAAGGTGAATTGGAAATTTCTTGCTTTTTTTTTTTTTTTTTGTAGATCAAAACCAATCAAGTATCAGGAATTTCATATAGTTCAGCCTAACACCGTTTCTCTTTGATCTTCCATGGCCCTTTATCTGGCCCTGTCTTGTCCACCTTGGACTGTGAACCCCCTTGAGGGTAGGGACTGCAGCTTGTTTCTGAGTCCTGCCCATAGGAGAGAGTAGGTGCTGAATAAATGCTTGCTGGCAGGAATGGAGTGAGAAAGGGTGTCACCGTTGACTTACCTTCCTGTGTCTTCCCTTTCAGCGGCCCACATGTGCAGCACCCTGGAGCATAACTGTGCCCACTTCTGTATCAACATCCCTGGCTCATACGTCTGCAGGTGCAAACAAGGCTACATTCTCAACTCAGATCAGACGACTTGCAGAAGTAAGACTGCTTTGCTGATATATTTGTGGTTTCTTCCTCTTTCCTCTTCCCCTCTCTTCTTTTATCTGGGCTCATTTTATTCATCTGTGATGCCTCACTCACCCCAGTTATCATCTCTTGGGGACAGAAATAAAGTTTGGTATTTTCTGTTGACCCCATCACAGTGCCTAGTCCAGAGCTGGGCACACAGTAGGCCATCAGGAAGTTAGAAAGCTAGGTAGAAGCACCATCTCAGAAATAGCCTCTTTGAATGTATGAACTGGTCTTCTTTACATCCAAGCTTGTTCTTTAGCAAGCACTACCGAAGAGCCTCTTCATCCATTGTCTTTATTAACTGTACCCTAAGGAACTGTTTCCGTATTTTATTATCTTCTATAAAGTGTGGATTTAGGAAGAGTTATTAACCTTGGCTGGGAGCGATTATTCAAGTTCTGTTTTAGAGGGGTACAGGGACCCAGTTACTTTGGTGTGGGACACTTTATAGGTGTCCCAGATTTTAAAAAGGGGGTAAACAGATGTAAGATATTAGAACTCGCATTCTCTTTTTTGGCTAAGTGCCAAAGACTAGACAATATACTGCTATTTGAGCCAGCACAAGGTAGTCTACCCCTTAAAGGACGGAATTACCCATACACAGAGTACCATGTCCTTACTTTTTAAAGTTATGGATAAAGCCACTGAGTTAACCCACAGATGACCAGGCTACCAAAAGCAAGGCATGAGGAACCCACATGGAAGCAAATAAAACTCAGCTAATCTGACACTTAGTTCATGCACTGAGTAACTGTTGCAATGTGTCATTGTTGCAATGTGTCATTGTTATTATACCTCATGGCAAGCAATTAAGCATTAATGGAAAGCAGTTTGCACAAATGGCTGTAATTAGTGTCACATTTATAGAGGCAAACCACCTTTTTCATGTTTCTTCTCACTTTTCTTCAGTTTCAGGGTTGAGTGGTTGGCTGGAGTTCTCTCCCTGCCCCTCAAGATTAGGTAACATCTGCTTGACCCTCCAGTTTTGTGTGGCCTGTGCAAGCCCAAAGCCCTCTGGACTCTGAATCGCAGGGGTGGGGTGGGGGATATGTGTTCTTAGGCTCCTCTCAGACCCCAGGATCCCAAGTTGAGTGCAGCCTGAATCACCCTTATCTTCCACTTGAAGCTCTGACGCTTCCTCAAGACCCACAACAAAGTCACTTGCACCAAATACTCACGGGTTTCCTAGAGTTTCCTAAAGAACTGGGGGAGATTGCAAAAGGACATCTCACACATGCTCAGCAAACAACCTAGAGATCTCTTTAGACACCCCCCTCTATACACCTCCACCTCTCCAGGTGTTCTACCTCCCCACAACCATCCTCTGGAGGCATCCCTCATCCTCTTCAGGCATCCTCCCCTCTGCCCTAGATACTTCTCTGGCCCATCTCAGCCTCCCATCATCTTGCCCACTCTCTTCCTGCCCTTCTCTTTCTCCTCCTCCTCCTCTTCCTCCTCCAACTCCTCCTTCTCCTTCTCCTCCTCCTCCTCTTCCTCCTCCAACTCCTCCTTCTCCTTCTCCTTTCTTCTTTTCCTTTGATTTGTTTTTTTAAGACAGGGTCTTGCTCTGTCGCCCAGGCTTTAGTACAGTGGCACAATTATGACTCGCTCTAGCCTCAACCTCCTAGGCTCAAGCAGTCCTCCCACCTCAGCCTCCTGAATAGCTGGGACCACAGCTGCATGCCACCATGCCGGACTAATTTTTGTAGAGATGAGGTTGCTCAGGCTGGTCTCGAACTCCTGAGCTCAAGTGCTCCATCTGTCTCAACCCCTGAAAGTGCTGGGATTTATGGGACTCAGCCACTGTGCCTGGCACCCTTCTCTTCTTAGGAGCACAAAGAATTCCTCCCCTTGTCTCATGTCCCACTGAGTGACTGGGATCTGGGAATCTGCTGATATTTATTTTCCGTGGGCTGGCCTAGCCAAGCCAGAGGAATTCTGACACCAGCAAATAAAAAATAAAATGTTCTTGCCCTGATTTTATGAGCAAGGCCTTCCCCCACACAGCAAGGTTTGCCAGACCCCTGCCTGGGCCTGCCACAGGCCCTGATGTCCCCCAGCTCTCAAGTACTGCTCTGGCCTTGGCTTCCTCCTGCCTAGGGATGTGCCACAGGAGAATGTGAAGCAGACCCTGCCGGGACTTCAGACAGACTGACCATGTGGAGGGGCAGGGAGGCCTCAGCGGAGGAGGGCTAGGAGCTCAGGGCAGGGCTTCTCAAACTTCAGTGACTAAGAATGAGCCAGGAAGCCAACTCCTGGGCTTACCCTTAGAGATTCAGAGTCAACAGGTCTGGATTTTCAATGAACTGACGAATGACTGCCACGCTTTGAGATTCACTGGCCTCAGGCAGTGACGGGTCCCAGGGAGGGGCTTAGCCGAGCTCTGCTGTCCCATCTGACCCAGCTCTTCAGTCACCCTGAACCAGTTAAGCCATCTTAACCTTCAGCCAGACTTAGCTTAATAAATGTGCAGTGATAAAGGACAGCTCTCTCTCTTTCAGAAGAAGATAACACTAATAACTCTTTTGCTTTCCCAAAATTGGTGTACCAGGGGCCTTGGTGGAAGAACAAGGCCTTCACTGTCCACAGATCTGGGCTTGAACCCTGACCTTATCACTTACCAGCTATGGCTGTCTCACTCTGAGCTGGTTATTTAAACTCCTTGACTCTCAGTTTCCTCACCCATAAGATGGGAAGGGTGGTAACAAATCAATACCTGTCTCACTGATTATGTCCTTGTTAGGCCCTGTTTTTGGTCTGGGGGACAGTTAAAAGCCATGCCAAGTAAAGGCTGTGCCATCTACTGACCCCTGCTGATGAGCAGGGACCTCTGCCTGCCAACACCGAGAGAAACTCACAATGGGCCTGGAGAGGAGGGATGCACTCCACTTCTGGAAGCTATTTCCACTTAATTTCCATGTCCTGGGCGTAGCTGGATAATCTCCCAGAGGAAAAGCCATGTGGCTGACACCTCCTCCCCAAAGCACCTCTTACTCCCTAAGAAGTGCTTGCCATTCTTTCTTCCATACAATCATTGATTGGTTCATTTATTTTTTCATTTAACAATTGTTTTTGAGCATAAAAATGTGCCAGGCAGCATGAAAAGTACTGGAAATAAAATAGTGAATAACACAGCAATATTCTTTCTTTTTTGGAGCTCACATTTTTGCATGGGAGTGAATCAAATAAACAACCAGGGTAATTGCAACCAAAAGTGACTACAATCCACGTCCACCTCAGTGTGCAACACATGAGGTCAGGCCTAACTATAGCCACTTGTTAGGTGTTTACCATGTGCCAGGAGCTTTCCTGCGTGCTTCATATCTGCTGTCTCATTTAATTCTCACAATGAGCTCTTAAAGTGGGTTTTATCACTCTCGTTTTACAGATAAGCAAAATAAGGAACAAAAAGGTTAGACGATTTACCCAAGGTCACATGGCTAGCAACGTGATCAAACCAGAATCCATGTCCTGTTATGTCCTCGCTCTTGGCCATCATTTGAGACTGTCCCATAACCCTAGAGGACCCCCAGATGGCAGCAGGACAACCCTTCAATCAGAAAACCTTCTCCAAGCCGGGAAGACAGATAGGTTCCTTAGCCCACTAATCCCGGGGAGACTTAGAACTAATTCAGGACTAACATTCAACACATTGTTACTTCCCCAAGGTCACTACCAATTGCTGTGGTACTGTCACTGCACAAAATCATAGTGGGAGGGCTTCTTCAGCAACTGCCTTTGAATACACACATGCATACACGCTATAGAATATATACATATGTATATGTCCCCACCATCGTATATTTGTAATTCATGTGGAGAGGGGAAGCAGACACAGTTGATTGATACATTCTTCGAATGGTGATGGACCTTGGCTATTAGACTTCTGGCTTCTTTTCCTATGGAACTTCAGAATTCCATCCCCTGCCAGTGTCCCAGAAGGGTGATGGTTCTTATAGAATCAGGTTATTACAAAACACCTGAATCCCATATTCAGACAACCTGGATCAGCAGTTGAGCTGAAATCCTACTTGTCTATAATTTCCACTTTTGATCCTATTTCTGCCATCTGAAGCCGTATACCAAAAAGTTATTTCCTTATCCAAATAAAAAGAGAAAGCCCTTCAATTATTGAAGAGTGTTATTCCCACACACTGACCCCATTCCTATCAATTTTCTCTTCTTCAGGGGAAAAAACACATCTTTAGATGACCTAGTTTTGGGTCTCTTCACTGTCCAGGTAACCCTCTTCTGGGTGGATATTAGTTGTCTAAAAAGAGCCTTTCCATCTGAAGACTAGATCAAATGCATTAAAGAATCTTAACTTCCATCTTTTCTTGGCCTTTTGGCTAAGATCAAGGTGTAGAATTTTACCTTCCAGGTTGTGTCTATATGGGCAATTTTGAATGTACTGGATGTCAACATTGTGGATTACTTCTGCCTTTCAAAAAGTCTTCCCTATCCGATACCATTATATGAGATATATGCAAAAGCATCAGCATAATACTAGAACAATGGAATTTTATGTTCCTTCCTTTTCCCTTTAAAAAAAAAATGAGGGGGAAGAAAACCTCATGAAGTGTGCCCCTCTTCACATGCTTCCTCTTCCCCAAATTCCTGTCCTACTAACAAGAAAGAACTTTATCTTGTTTCTTTTTCTTGACGTATTTTTCAAAATAAGGAATTTTCCCTTTCTTCTGGAACATTTAATCTATCTGAAAGCTGACGATAATGCAGCATTTAGAAAACTTCATTTGGCAGAAAATGTAGACTTTCTTATCCAGCTTAAATTTTTTTTTTTTCTCTCAAGAACGATACCAAATGCATTTTACTGCTTTCATTCTTTGGAAATGTTCCCAACATTATTTTTCCCAAGCTACATAAGTGATTTAATAGATTTATGTTAGAGTTTAAACAAGGAGCGTGACCCAGAAAAACCACTGAATTATTAGAGAGAGATAATTATA